TCATTAGTGCGTAGCAGGAGGGAGGTTAGACTTGAGCGGCTTATTTCCGTAACGCCCTTCAGATAACAGGCACAAGGACAAAAGCAAGTGGAGGGATAGAAGAAAAGAAGAAACAGAGCAAAAAGGGAAATGAGAGAGAGAGGGAGATAAGGAGAAAGGCATAGAACCAGTCATCCATATCACAACTTTAATTTGCATCTCTTCATGTAAGCATTCAGTGCATTTCTATATTAGTTGAGACACATGTAACAGAAGGGTGAAATGTCAGGTCAAACCCAGTCATGCTCTTGGATGGAGACCTGCTGTGTCTATTGATTTCCAATGCAATCTGATGGAGAGCTAACAGTGTCTACAGAGCGTAAACATCTCAGCGTTCATCTCAAGTTCTTTTTGCACTATTATTGTAGTCAAGACTACTAGAAGCAAGTCAAGAGTCAAGAAGAACAAGAAGAACTTGGACATATTGAGTCCAAGTCTAGACTGAGACCAGATTAAGGTTCTTTTAGAGTACGAAAATAAAAAGGAAGAGAAAAAAATTGTTTGTAGTTTATTGTAAATTCATTATCATTTCTAACACATGATATCATTTAATACACATAACTGTATTTTGTAACACATTTTGTAAATACATAGCCTAAAAATATTATTTATTATTATTATTATATTATAGTCCTGGTCCAACTTTGCATTTCAACATTTAGAAGTGAATGATAGTGAGGTTATTCTTTATATCTTCTTCTCTAAAACTTATTCAGAATCACCACCTGAAGTCAATTGAACATAAACCAAACAATATGCATCTGTTTTTATTATTAAATGAAAACAGTAACTAGAATGTACTGATCTGCCCTCAGTGGAGGTTTGAATTTTGGAATTTGTGATAAGCATCAACAAACAAATAATATCCAGTAAAGCCATAATGGAAAAAATCAGTTAGATCCTCAACCAGCAGCGAAAAATTTTATTTAACATGTAGAGAAAGGACTGTTTAATTCTGTTGATACTCAGTAATGACAGAAAAAAGTTCAATTTCCAGTGACCTCAGACATTTGGCTTTTCTAAAGAACATTTTCTGAATTACTTTACCCCAAGACTGAAACAAGACTGAGTCCAAATGGCGTCAAGACCGGGATGAGACAGAGTCCAAATGATGTTAAGACCGAGTCAAGACCAAGACCAAATGATGTTTAGTCCGAGACAATGGCGAGTCCAAATGGTGTTGAGACTGAGTCAAGGCCAAGACCAAATGATGTTTAGACCGGGACAACAATGGTGTTGAGACTGAGTCAAGGCCAAGACCAAATGATGTTTAGACTGGGACAACAATGAGTCTAATTGATGTTAAGACTGAGACACGACCAAGACCAAATGATGTCAAGACTGAGACAAGACCAAAACCAAAAGGTGTTGAGACCGAGAGAAGACAGAGACCAAATGATGTCAAGACCGAGACAAGGCCAAGTCCAAATGATGTCAAGACCGAGACAAGACTGAGACCCAATGATGTCAAGACCATAGCAAGACTGAGTCCAAAAGATGTCGAGGCTGAGTCAAGACCGAGACCAAATGATGTTGAGACCCAGACTAGACCGAGATCAAATGATGTCAAGACCGAGACAAGGCAGAGTCCAAAAGATGTTGAGGATGAGACAAGACTGAGTCCAAATGATATTGAGACCGAGACAAGACCAAGGCCAACTGATGTTGACACTAAGGCAAGACCGAGTCCAAATGATGTCAAGACTGTGCCCACATGATGTTGAGACTGAGACAAGACCAAGAACTTTAATTTATGGTCCTAAAACTGGACTCAAGGTAATACAACATTACTTTGCACTTCTGGGTAGAACAGATTAGATCATACCACAACATTATAATTTATACCTGTATTAGTTAAAGTGCCTTACAAAAAAAATAAATTAATAATAATTCAACCTGATCAACCTGACCTTAGAAGTTCATGACCCTGGTCATTTTAAGCACAATTCATAATGTCATAATTTAAAAGACATAATTTATACTTTCCTATGATCTTCACTGAAAAGGTAGTGACTTTTGCCCACCTTGAAAACGGCTTCTGAATTTTGATTACATCACAGTACACCAGTGAGAGAAGAAAAATATCAACTAATAATGTCAAAGTTCACCTTCAACTCCCCAACCCCCCCCCATCTATCATTGAAAAAAAAAAGCTCCGTTAGCTCAGAGACACGCCCCCCCATACATTGTCACTCAGAAATATGTCACAGTATGGAAAGGAATGCGTGTTATGATCACAATAGAACATGAGGATATAATTGCAAATAACATCATTTGCAGATCACAGATCTGTAGTTTCAGTCACAGATCATAGATCTGTAGATCATCACATTCGTGGTGCTATTTGTGATAACACACAACTTTGAGTGTTCTATTGCTTTTATAGAACAGTTCTGCAAAAAAAGGAAAGCACAGAAGCCTCAAATATTATATCAAAGGTTTTTAATTTTGACAATTTCTTCCACCAAAAAAGTAGCGATTTTTTTGTGAGCCATAAAACTGTCACAATATCAGGTTCAGCTCAGCTTTTTCAACAGTTCAATACTTGCCAGGTTAACCTGAAAGTTGTTTTGTTCCAGGAAGTCTGTAAAGCATTCAGTTGTTCAGATGTTCAGTTGTTCTGCAGTCACAGCTGCTGGTCGAAAAGCTTGTGTAGGTGCAACAACAGGGGCAAGTTCATTGTGGGCTTGAGGTCACACTCTTCTTCAGAATCTGTTCAAATGGGCTGGAGGTCAAATATTATAGAAGTTTAATGTATTTGTTTGCTGTTTCTGTATGTGGTCAAGTGGAACTTAACAACTGATGCTCAGATGAATGATACAGTTAACAGATAACAGTATGACTAGAATGCTCCTCAACCAATTAGACTGTGCCATTGGAACTAACTGTAATAATATCTAATTCATGTTGACTTTAATAAATGAGAAAGCCTTCTTTGCCCGTTTCTACTAAGTTTACATACTGAACACAAAGCTGTTCAGATTTCTCTCATTTTTCTTTAGAAAACGACAAAACTGGAAGAATAACTGATAAAAGTATGTCCGAACTCCACACCTTATTCCCTTGTTGTGATGTGAGCACGTAAATCTTTCAGGTGTTTAAACCACCTCTGGGCCAACATGCTTTTAACATTATTTAGACAAATCATTATTAAATCATGTTTAGACAAAACCTTCATAAACCCTCTTCATTCCAAGGAAGACACTTTGATGAATATGAAGCTGAGAGTTGCAAAATATACTCAAAGTAACTGTAAACAGCTGTAGTACTTTAAAAAAGACTCTCACACACGGTGTCCCCAAACTTTTGACAGGTAGCATAGCCTTATTCCTACCTTTTATACCTGCAGGATATAAATAGGGCAGATTTAAGCTCGATTTGTCACTTGAACTCAATGTGCCACCAAAAACAGGACAATCTCAAAATAAATGAGAATGAGAATAAAGATGGGACACGTATTACACTGTAGTGCTCTCACCCAAACGCCTTCCAGCCACTGGAATGAAACCCACCAAATTCCACTGCATTTCTTTATAAAATGAGAATAAATGTCACTGCCAAACTCTGCTACAGCTAGAACCAAGAGACATCAAGTCAGTAACTCTTAGAAGTCAAAGTTATCATTTACAATAACATAAGCATCGTGACATTTCAGATTAATTATATCTCACTAATAGCTCACTGAAACAAGCAGAGAAATTCTGTGATAAGTGCAGTGTATTTGTTTGTGAATAGAAAAGGTATATTTTATTATGATCATCTGAGGAAAAGTTACTGTTGAATTGTGTGTACATTTCCAAATATCATGTCAGGGGATGAGGAGGTTATAAGGGGGTATAAAAACATCATAAGTGATGTAAAAGTTCTGCCTAGAGTCCTGCATTTTCTCAAAATGAAAAATAATCAAAAAGTTTAGTTCTGTTACAAAGTCACCAAATAAGTGAATGCAGGGCATGATTTTCAAGCCATCATTCAATACATATAAAGCCATCTATCCAACAATAGCAAAATGTTAGACAGTGCTGCTAACCAGGAGAGTGGAGCTGGTTAGCATTAGCTTAGCTAGAACTTCTTAAATCCTGGCTAACTAAAGCACTGACACAGGTTTAGATGATAATTCAAATCTGAGGCAGTGAAGTAAGCAGGCTACAGACCCAAACAGTGTGACACACTGCAGGTTTGATTCTGACTAACTGGTGCTGAAACAAGCGTAGATGATAAAAACTAATGTCTAAGAGAGCAAAAATCAAGTGACCTGTATTGGAGTGACAAAAAACCTGGCATTTTGGCTAAGGTAGCTATAGCATACAGCTAACTCATCTAAAAATGAGTAAAAGGTTCAAATATCCGCTAAAACTTTGAAACAAATGAGTAAATGAACAGACTTGAACCTGTTGATATAGAATGAAATCGAATGTTAATGTTATTCATTATCTAATTTTGTAATTAATGTATGTAAGCAATAATAGTAAGATATGACAGAACAATAACTACACCTTTAAGGGTTAAGCCATTCAACTGTATTTTTACTCATTTCACACCTTACACTTGCATATTGCCCAAGCATTTGTTTCACTGAGCTGTAACTTGTAACTTGAGTAAAGTAAAGCCATCAAAATACAGTCACTGACTGTATATTCTGAGAGCTTTTGGGATTTTGTGGATGTAGTGAACCAGCATGAAGCTTAGAACTGCATCCCTATAGTAACAGGAGCTGATGTCGGCTTTGTTACGATGGTGATGGCTTAGTAAATAAGAAGTCCATGATTTTCAGATTGGAGTACTGCCCAAGGCCTCAGATGTTTGTAAAAGCGCTGATCTATAATCAACTCGGCCTAGGGATGGACGATATGACAATGTGATATCGTAATCACAACAAATAACAGCGCTATATGTTTTTCTGAGCATATTGTGGACATTGTCAGTAAAATTAATTTTAAAAAAATGGTCTGAAAATCAAATTAACTCAGTTTTTTCCATTTACTCCACATAGTCGATCAGCCAAGGCATGTTTGGCACCCAAACTTTGGTTCTTTTGTTTAGCGCTGAAGCTATGAGTCTCTAAAAGTCAACAGTCACCCAGAAACATCCCCTAAACTTGCAGATTTAGGTCACTATTCACTTCTAATGTTTGTTAGCAACATTAGCCTCATAGCTCTAGTAACAAATAAGCTAAATTTGGACTCCAAACGTGTCTTGGCTGGTTGACAATATCTGAGATAAGTGGAAAATTATGTAAATTAATTTTTTTTTTGCCCCATCCTTTAATACAGGCTTTAACGTAGTGTAACCATCAGGAGATCGCTAGTTCAAATCCAAATAATACCATGAGCCAACCAGCATAATGGCTCATAACATTGTTGCACTAGTTTTTATAGCATTCTTGTCAATAGGTGCTTTGTATCTGGCTCTGTTCTGACCAAAAAAAAAAACAAAATATCAAGATACAAACTGTGAAAATGCTTTCAAGTATAGTGATTTTATATTTCAATCATATTGCCCTCCTCCAAGTCCCCCATTCATAACATTATATTCAAGTTGATATGATGACAAGGGCTGGGTATCGTTAAAACATTTTTTTGAGATCGATACCAACACTCTGATTTCGATACATACTCCTGAAAGACTCCTGGGTGGGGCTTAAACTTTACTGGCTGTAACATGCTAATGTTATTAGGGTGCATATGCAATTTGGACAGCCAATCAGCAGGCTAGATTGTGGAACAAGCATGTTCATTGGCTCACGGATTCTAAGACCAAGGCAATTCAGTCTATACAATAAAAGTATTAAATATTGATACCCAGCCCTGATCATGGCCAAAAATTATACCTAGATCAAACCATTACTCCTAGATCATACCCTCCGCTACATAGTTTAAAGGAGACTGTAAAGGAGAGCTGTATAATACAACACAACACAACAGTATCAATCCCAATCACCCCCAACCCGTGCACCCACATTTTGCTCCCTTTTTTGCAAACGTTCCCTTTCCTAAGCCCAACGTTGCTATTTACCCAGCTCCATTTTTAGCCCCATGCTACATTTATTTGAATCACCATGCCCTACTCTTCTTATTTTCAGTGTTTCAGGCGTTAGAAAGAACATCCTTAATACTTTTTTGTACCCAAAAATGCTAAAAGCTAAAAGTTTAACAGTTCTCCACCATTCAAAGCTTTGTAAACGTGTACTAATGTCCAGGCTATGACAGTTCACTTCTGTGCAGATTAATAGTTAATAAAGTCTATCTCTTCTGGTTTAAAAATAAAGCTACATAGTGTTACTACCTGATAAAATATACTGACAACGCTCCAGGGAGCATTAGCCTTCAACTCAAATTCTGAGTACCGTTGTTTCCTTCAGACAGATTCTGATAGGCTCTCTTAACAGCAGTCCATACAGACCCTTAAAAGACTTATAGAAAGCTTGTGCTTGTATAGAACTATTAAATACAAACAAAGCATACACACTTACACTCACTCACACACGTAAATCAGAAGAATCCCTGTCATCTACAGATACTTGGTCGAGTCCTGGAGAAGGAAAGTAATGTCCAGTAGATGTAGCGTCCCTGCAAATGGACTGCAGTGTTTCTCTTCTGTGAATGTAGCCATGAACAACGTTCAGTTTAGTCTCAGTGAACTTGGGCAAATAAATTTACAGCTCATCTTGTGGTCCCATTTGTGCCACTTGTATCAGTCAAACGCTTCTGAGATCACTGGCCCTCTGATAGGCTGGCTGAGTGACTCACATGAGGGGGGAGGGCCTCCTCAGAAACAGCATTCGCGTGCATCTTTGAAAGTTTGATGCTTACAGAGTCGCAGAAAGAATAACTTAAAGGGTAATTCCACTGATTTTTCACATTTCCTGCATAAATAAATCGGTCCGATGTAAACAAAGTCATTTAGAGTGGTTTGATGTGAAATGCACTATTCTAGAGAAACATACTTAATCAGAATTGTTCACAGTGGTGCTGATAGGAACCAGACATCTGAAGTGTTTACTGTCTCCAAAAGCTCTCTCACAGAGAGGTATTACATGAAAGCATTTAAAATACCCTGTCTGATGTCTCAGACATTGTTTTCCAATAGTTTCTCATCAGATTCTGGACCAAAAATATATTTTTTAGACTTCTTTTATGCTAAGAGTTACATGCAGGGCTATTCCCCAAATAAAAGTCTGTTTTCTTTTTCAGATTGATCACTTTTTCACTATTGTCATCATTACATATAAAAACTCAGAAGACACATGTAGGTTCACTGGTTGTTTAGTTATGATTAGTAAATAAAATGTGGTGTACAGTAAATAAACGTTAATAAAATGGCTGCTCATTAAAAATCAGACATCACAACTTCTGGTTCCTATCACCACCACTGTAAAGAAATCAGTCAGTAAGCTTCTCTACAGTGAACAATTTCACATCGAAACACTTTAAATGACTTTGTTTACATCTCAGTAATATAACTATCAGAAACTTTTGAAAAAGAGTTCCCCTTTAAGTCCAAAGACTGATAACTAATCAGTCTTGAGAGATTGATAAATAACTAATAAAACTACTTCAAAATGATCTCAAAATTCTTATCCCTTACTATGATTAGCTCTTGTTAAGAGGAAGCATAAAACTTTTGCACTGTGATTAAATGAGTTCTGAGGAGATCCATCTTCTAACGTGTACTCTTCACTGGTGCCACCGTTAAAGAATAAGTCTAATTTCAGCCACGGTTTTGCGGCTCATTGTTAGGAATCCCTTTGCAGTTAAGTGAAAGGAGAGGAGGGTCGACTGTTTTGCAGTTTTCTTACACTAAACAGTCGTTATCTTCTGAACATGGAAGGAAAGTGCAGTTTCATACACAGATTTCTATGGGCGTGGCCATCACCATCTTACTCTTGTCCTGCCGATTGGGGGAGGGGCTTTTTGACGCCTCTTCCCTGGAGGAGTGTGGCTCTGACAGGATGCTACGTTTGAGAGGGGTAGGCCGAAGGCAGGAAGTGCCAGGCGGGGGGGAAGGCTCTGCATGTCTATGGGCGGAGCCACGCGTGGCCACACCTCTGGAGGCTCTACAGGAAGCTCTGCGGCGATGGTGGGTCAGCAGGTCGTATTTGAGGAAGTAGAAGACCTCCTTGACGCCGCAGCGTCGGTCGGGCTCCAGTGCCAGCAGTCGGCCAAACATGCGCAGCGCGTCATCAGAGAAGCGGCGCCACTGCGAGGGCACGGCGCCCGGCGGACATGTCCCTCTCTGCCAGCGCTGAAACTCTGCGTAGAAGGCATCGCTGGGCAGCGCCGCTTCCCAAGGGAAGTTGCCAGTGAGCATGCAGAACAGCAAGACACCAAACGCCCACACATCTTGGGTGGTTGCCACGATGATGCCTTCCGAGCCGGTGACTTGGCACACCTGCCAAATTTTAACACAGAACATTTTACACCTGTTGTAGCATCAATGGCTGCTTGTCTCTTTAAGAATTTATTTACAGGTTTTTAAAGCTCTTCATACATTTCAACACTGCCTGACAAACGTGGCTGATATGGCAAAAACATAATGATACGTCAAGACAATTTCCCAGAACCAGTAGTGTCATACAGGGGTGGGCGATATGTAAATAAATCTAATATCATGATACTTGAAGACAACTGTATGATACATGATATGCATCACTATATTTAGTTTTTCTGAGGTTTATTAAGTAGGAATAGACTGAAAAACCGTTCAGTGTTTTCTGAATAAACTTTTATATGAATAAAAATTTTTATTCAGTGTTTCACTAAAACCAATTGAACAGGTCTAATTATTCTCTCTTTGTAATAAGACCTGCGGTTCGTCAGTGTTTTCTAAGTACTGACAATATCCACAATATGCCCAGAAAAGCACACTGTGACATAATTTATCACAAAAACAGTAATATATTACAATTTCGTGTTACATTTGAAAATACTATCAAAAACTATGAAAACAATGATTTTTTATCTAACATTTTACACACTGCAGTGCAATAAATCCAGCTGAACAGGACTAATTATGCTCTCTTTGTAATCAAACATGCAGTTGAGAATTGTTCTGAACTCTTAAAAATTATGGTTCTTTAGTAAAATGGTTCTATATAGAACCATGAACAGTTAAAGAACTCTTTGCATGATTAATTTTCAAAAAAGGTGCTATATAGAACCATCTACAGCACATTCTCCATTAATCTGAAGAACCCTTTCTGGTGCAAAGAACCCTTTACATGAGTTCTTTGAGCATTCATGGCTCTATATAGATCCATTAGTAAAGAACCCTTGAAACCCATCATTTCTAATTGTGTAGTAGTACTGATGATATCCACAATATACTTGTCACATAACTTATCAATAAATATTGTCATGTTGCCCATCCCCCTCACAGACTATGTTCAAAATCAGGCTATAATTGTATCTTGATAATATGTTTTGCCTTTTACCTTTTCTTTTTTACTAAAAAAACATCATATTCTTTTTATTTTACTATTTGAAATACTTGCTGTATTTTATAGGTTATTAGAGATTGGCAATCGGCCAACTTGATTTTATTTTTTTATCTGTGTTGCAATTTTATGAGATAATTAATAATTCAAAAGTCATGCAAGTGCATGTGCACTGTATCTGAATGCTGCTGTTAAACCTATATGAAAATGTTGTAGCATAATTATGCATGGCTCATTGTGCTAAATTTTACAGGCTTTTATTAGGCCACTGATTTTCATTTACTTTAAAATGAATTTAAAATGACAGTTTGGCTTATTAAAGGGCAAATAATCCTATTGCAATTTTGGCTAACTAGAAATGTGCGTTCATTTAGCCCTTATAGTGTGAGCTTCAGGTAAAAAAGAAGGCTAATAAAAATCGAGCCAACAAAGAAAAAAAAAATAAAATGAAAACATCCTTAATTGTTACAGTTATATATATTTTTTTTATATATATTTTTTACTTAGATACACTACAAAGTACTTTAGCTACATTTTGCTTAGCTGCAAAGGTGCCATATAATTTAAAATTATTACTAATGTTAAGTTCTTACTACCTCAGCAGCTGTATAAGGGATGGTGCCGCTGACTCGCTTGACCCTGCTTCCCGCACGCCGCGTCATGCCGAAGTCAGCCAGCTTGACGCGTCGGCACTCACGATCGAACAGGAGCACATTCTCGGGCTTCACGTCCCGGTGCACCAGACTTTTACTGTGCATAAAGTCCAGAGCCAAGCCCAGCTGCTGCACACAGCGCTTCACCATGTCCTCTGGCAGACCAGCCTGAACCACAGAGAGATTTGGGAGGGGGGAAAGAGGGAAAGAGGGAAGGAGAGAGAGGGTGGAGAAAAGGGGGACAAGATTAGAAAGATGGTTTTGAGGAAAAAATTGGGATGAGAAGAATTAGAGTAAGGAGGTTATGTAATTATAAAGAGCTTTGGCTCAGAGTTAAGTAAATGAGGTTCAGAGATCAGAGATGAGGGACAAGGAATGAGCGATAAAGAGAGAGAGTAAGATGACCAAGGTACAAGAGAGGACTGAAGGATGGCAATATTATTAATGATTTGATAAGTATGACTACCGTAGAGTGATAGCAGCACGTAATAATAGAGAAAATACAACAATGCTTGATCTTGGCTAAGAATGCTTAGCATGGAGCTAGCTGCATTCGGAGTAGCCTGAAGTGAAAGTTTAACAAGAAATCAAAGTTAAACAAGTTTCCTCTTAACTGAAAAGTAACTGATCAGCCAAGACATGAGTAGTGTCTGAAGTTAGGGTCAGTTTTGCACTAGAGCTATAAGGCTAATATAGCTATCAGGGGATGCTTATTTAGCATCACGCTATATATATGCTGAAATCATCCCACGCTTGCCTCGAACCATGTTAAGATTTTAAGTAATCTCAAATAGACTGATGTGTGTATACTGTTAAGTAGAAAAACAAACAAAGGTACAGAGGAAATCCAGGCTTAAAAATGGCTGCTATTACTGTTTTTATGAAGTCATCCCTATGTTTGCTGGGAACTTTATTTTGTAACTCAAACAGCCAGGCCTGTGTTCCCTCTTTGTAATTGAAAAACGCACTCTGATTGAACATTTCAGCTAACAAGAATAAGAATCCATTCAATCCTATTGAAAAATCTGCTCCTTATTGTTCCTTATATTCACAGGTTCTCTTAATGTATCATATGAAGAGCTAAACAATAGACCCTGGGAACATTTGTTAAGCTCCCATTTTAGCTATGCTGTTACTGTTTGAACTACTCCTCAACAGTAATAGTAGATGTTCGTCCACACCTCTCACTGTGGAGGCATGCAGTGATGTATGCAGTCTTACCTGTGGAGGTATGATGTCGAACAAGTCACCTGCAGGCGCATACTCCTGACCAAACACATAGCTCTCCTCTGTCTCAAACAGAATGTCCAGAACTTTAATGATGAATGGACTACAGCCCAGAGCAGCCGTCAAACTGTATTCACGCAGAAAACTTCGCAGCTTGGTCTTATTCTTGCTCACATACTTTAGAGCCAGTTTTGTGCCTGTAGCATACACACACAAAAAGCATACACACACAGATACATCCACAGGACAAAATCACTGCTTGGGTTCCACCAAAAGAACAATTCACAAATTTCACACCAAGCTCTGATTTTATACTGGTCATTTTCAAGTCAACTTTTTGACACTTAATGTTTTCAGCAGAACTCTTACCCTGTGTGCGGTGAGCCACCAGGTCCACTCTGCCATATGTGCCTTTCCCTAATGGACCAATCAGCTCATACTGCTGTTCCACCTCGGAGGCCGAGAGAGCGGTGATGGACAGTGCCTGCATGTCCTCCACTGGGGCCATGCCCACACTGTTGCTCCGCCCTGCTGCAGACACACCCACCTGGGCACTGAAACACAGATAATGTTTCATTGTTTAACACAATTTATATTTACTTTTGTCCTCGTGTGCTTCTTCTCAGCTTAATCTTGCCCGTTCCTAATACGATGTTTTTTGGATTCAGTACTACCAGCTTGGAAGGGCAAATGCGGGCACTTGTCTCCTCTGATGCGTATGAAGTGCCGACATGAAGGAGACTGCCAAGAGCTTGTAACCCAGGCAATGCCTGGCTGGAGTGTTATTTCTGCAACATAGACCCTCACTGGCCACATTATGCGGTCCACCTACCTTTTAGGTCCACCGAACAGGTGTACAATTACTGCATGCAGCCCTTCTGTTGATGCACAATTTTTCAGCCACCCTCTACCCCATTTATCATCATTCAGTTTCTGACCACAGGACTGCTGTTGTCCAGATATTACTTGGGTGGTGACTCATTCTCAACACAGCAGTGACACTGAAATCATAGTGTGTGTAATGCTGGTATGTGTGTATCAGGCACTAGGACTGGGAGTTAACAGTGAGGATGTACATGCGCAGAGTGGCTTTAGACTAATTCTGAAGCTGACTGATTGTGCCAAAAAGTAGAAAGTAGTTTGCAGTATGTGACTAACATAATTTTTCTCCAATATGCCAAAGACACCCAGATGTCTTACTGCTAAGGCAAAATATTTCAATACGTGAGCAGAGAGAGAGAGTATATCTACATGATATACTGCATCCCAAAATGCAAAACCACTGAAGTAACGCCTGAAGTTTGTCCAAATTCTGCCACACTCAGTGCGACACTAAAGCCACACCGTTTTTTTCTGCTGGTCTTGAGGTGGGTTTGCTTGCTTCATCAATGTAATAAAGTTAATTAACTTAGTGCATATATAACGTAACTAAAGTTGGTCTCAGCTGAACAATCCGCTCAGCATCGTTTTTTCAGGTTCCTGTCTGGAGTCATTCTGCTTATCTAGCCAAACTAGCTCATATTACCCACTTAGAGTGTAATAAAAAAAAACACTCACAAATGGAGGAAAACAGGTATCCAATCCAAAGCTGTCATTTTTAAAGTTTGTTCATGGTTTTGAAGATGTATGGTATCATGTATGGGGTCTCTTTTAAAACTCACACAGAGACATCTCTTGTTACTAAGCAGTGACTGGGGGCTGTGGAAAATGGGGCGGGTCTTGAGATGTAGATGGGTTTGATTGGCTCAGTGCCTGATACTAGCAATCTAGTCGCACCCCTGCCCTGTGGTACAGCATACATACTAATGGAGTGTTGCATGCACTATACAGTATATACTGGAGCAGTATGCTGTATACTATACACAGTATGTCATTTCAAACACTGCCCTTGTGCTCGGTCAGTAGACATTAAAATTATACTTGTTATATTCTGATGTTAAAAATACAACATAACATATTATAATAGAACTGGACACATTGCAGAAATTAGAATTTCACCTTAAATTGTAAAATCTCTCACTGCCACAGAATAACTTTGCTCTCATTAGAATGACCTTTATGAAGCTAGTGAGTGTTTTCTTGGTTATAAAACAGAAGCAGGCAGTGTTCACTCTGATAACTGTCCATACGCTTACAGTTCATCAAGCCTAAGGCAAGGCCAAAAGTTTGTTTAACTTGAATGTCTGGATTGTGTCTACTTACATCATGTAATAGTGATAAAAGCAGATGTTTATTGCACCATATTACAGCTTATATAATTGAGCTAGCATTGTACACTCTCTATCTACTTTACCAGAAACCTTTAGAACGCAGCTCCAACTGTAGGTCATCTTTTGATGCATATTTTGTGCTATCCATACTCTAGTGACATGCTCTTTTTGTGACACTTGCAGTTGCTCAGTGTTCCTTAAGCACTAATAAAATCTACAATATGCTCAGAATAGTATAATGTGATGATAATGTGTAATCATATTATATCATCATACACATTATTTACCTCTAACATTTCATCAATGGTCAGTTTCTGACTATGATGCAAGTCTACCATGGTACAATTCAGGTGTGCTATTTAAAGATTTGTGACTTGCTAAGTATTTTCATCTAACATATTGTGATTTATTACTTTTGATTGCAAATTATTCATCCAAAAGAAGACTCTCTGCTTTAATGTTCATATTTTGTTCATCTCACTTCAGTCTCATTTACTGAAGCAAAACAGATTCGGCAAGTAGCCTGAAATAAACATTTAAAAGTCAGAGGCGCCGGTTAGGATTATGTAGGAGTTTCAGACAACATCACATCTTTACGTGTTAATGTCACATGCACAAGCTCAAAAAAAGGTCTGGGTTAATGTTTAGGTGTTAAATGCATAATTAACATTGTACTATTGAAGATATGATGAAAATAGTAGATCATTCACTTATATCCCTGGAAGACACATCCTTCACCAAGTTTTGATTGGGCTTTCTTTGATAACTGTTTCAACGTGCTTGCAATCATCAGATTCATCCTCTTGGGGAAGGGGTCCGAAGCACAAACCATGTTACAAAATGTTCTTCCACATGTATCATGATTATACTGTTAAACATCTTGCCTAATGACTTTCATTGGTATACTGTAGTGGAGTTCCTGATTCCTGCCTGAATGGGAAATTAAAACCCCCCGAGCGTGTTATCCACTGCATTATCCAAACACTCCTAACAATACCACCATCAGAAGCCTTGGTCTCACTAGAAAGGTGCGAGGCTATCTTGTGGATAAAGACAGAAATGCATTTTGGGTAATCTATTAGTCTAACAATGGGCATTATATGTGTTAAAATAAGCATAATTAAATAATACAATATCAGTACTCGAGTCTGCAGGTATTAATATGATTTGCAAACCCATACTATTGGATTAATAGTTTTCCCTCCCACCCCTAGTATATAAACACAGAAAAAAACAAACAAAACCACAAACACTACCAAAATTGTCTTACTCTTTATACTTCTACAGTTTTGCTTGCTTCTTTTGCTTTGTTCTCCTTTTGTTTGTCCAAGTCCAGATCATTCAGCTTTCTCAGGTAGAACTCTAGTAAATATTTCAGCAGCAGAAGCAGAGGTTTGCTCCCCAAACCTATGAATGAAGCGCCTCAAGAGTTAGACTCCTGGCTTAGAATCAGCCTCTGTCTTTCAAATCACAGTTAAGGCATACAGGCTGTGAGCAGCTGCTCCTGAATCAGCACTGTACTTACTCTTAATTGGGACAGTATTGCAGTGTTCAGACAACATTTACCCTTAAAGCGTTCAGTTATTGCTGGCGATAACAAAAAACAAGCTGCAATAAAATATTAATTCTTTCTCACTCATAATTCTGTGCAAAGTAAGGATGTTTCGACTATTTTATATTTTATTGTGAATTGAATTTTAGGTTCAATTTGTTCAATTTCAATGTATTATTTCCTTTCTAGTCCTTTCAATCAATATATGGAAACTAAGCTGCAAAAACAGCCTTTTTTTGATCTAATTTTTATGAGGTCATGAAAACCAACACATTAACATTTAGCCTACAGCAGTTTAGCTCCGCCCATTCACACTGAAGTTATATGGAGTGTCTCACTCTGGACAGCTTCTTGAATGATGCACAATACAGGGCAGCCAATCAGAACAGAGATCATTTACATATATTATTTACCCACTAAGTTAAAAATGCAACTCATCTTTACTGTTTTCAATAGAGGCGTTGAATCAAGGCTAAAAAAGAAACAAATTTGCTCTCACACTTAATATTCTTATACAGACACATTTGTATTTTATTGTATTTGTATCTGTATTGTTTATTTATTTATTTTTTTTATTTTAACTTTTAAAAAGCCGCCCGTGGGCAGGTGTTGTAAACTGGTGTTTTGCTATAAACACAGTGCATCTGGCACTTGTGCAGAATTGTATGTTTCCAATGTTACTGTTATGTACTGTTATGACAAATAAATAAATTATAAATTATTTCAGTATTGACAGCATAGTAACAGAAACAGTCAGTTTAACTCTAAGTGATAAAGAGAGGTTGGAAAATGGATATGAAAAAAATTCATTTTGACTACACAAATGTTGTAAGTGCACCTCAGAGAAATCATTATTGGTTTTTGTAATGGATCCTTCCTCTGTATGATCCCAGTGCTTTTTAATCTTCCTTCTAAACTTGTTTGTTCTACTCATATCATCGCTCCACTATCAGGTGCGGTCCACAGAAAGATGGGTTTCCATCTTTTAAATCGTGGTTCCTCTCAGTGTTTCTCCCTCGTTCTCTATGGGAGTTCTTCCTCCCACTGTTTCCCTTATAGACACTCACTAGGGGCTTCACATTTCTGGTCAAGATGCTTTGGGATGACGTCTGATATAAAAGTGCTATGCAAATAAACTGGAACCGAACTGAAATGGTTTTAGAAGCAATATTATTAAAACCAGGGCTTGATTTGAGAGGGGACAAATGTCATCCTCTTTGTGTTAAAGTGCCATCTCCCTTTGGATTGATGCCTGAATGTGATTTCACCTGAGATTTCTATTATCTTTAAATCCCGTCCATACTTGCCTTGGATGTACAAAATGTTCCAAAGCCCACACAAACAACACAGCGTCACTGGAGGACTGTCAGAAGTTTGCTGCTTATGTTCAGTCGGTTCATGCTGATAACCTAAACTGGGTTCTAAAACTATTCTATTAGAAAGTCTGAAACAAAATATTGTCTATATACTAAATTGTTATTAATATTATTATGCCATACAGACCCTTAATGCCCCCTTACTTCAGTGTTTCTGTCCCTTAGTCCATTACATACAGGTCAGTGTGAGACAGAACTTACAAACGTCTAGGCAACCTAACCACAGTATAAAATGAGCAATATCTAAGGTTTCTTCCTGAGCTAAAAAAGCATGTATAGCTACAGTTCATAAACACTTCCTCAGACTTCCCTTCGGCTTTTGCACCCAACATCCCCTCTTGGTTATTTTAATTCGACCACCGAGCGTAAAAAGCCCAAACAGGGCACTGGTGTTCATGTGAACTGTGTTCTGAGTGGATGTGCTGCTGCTAGTGTTTGGAGAAAGAGAGAGAGAGAGAGAGGTTAAGTTACCTGCTGGTGCCCTGCCTCTCTCCACCATGCTCCTGCATCCGGACCCCCGAGTCTCCTCCTCAGCGCTCACTGTTCGAGGATCAGCCGCTGCTCAGCGAAACTTCTGCCCGGTGCCACACCGGTCCAGACCGCGCTGCCGTCCCATAGAGACCCGTCGAGATATTCCTGAATGAAAACTGAAGCCACGAAGCTCCTCTGACCGCCACCGCCACCTTTCCGTTGATTGTTTACTGTTTTTGTTTTCCTTCGCGCCGTCGTTGCAGTCGCCGTTTCTTCTTCTGCTGCTGCTGCTGCTGCGTTTGGAGCCTAGCTCCGTGTGCGCGCGCCTGTAAATGTGTGTGTGTGTGTGTGTGTGTTTGTGTGACCTACTTCAGCGCTCCTCTATACACACACACACACACACACTCCTTCAGGAACGGTGTCGCCCTGTCTTCTCGCATTTTGTGTGTTTTCCACGCCAGGGAGCTCTCTAAAAGAGGCGTGTTTTCTTACTCCACCCGTATTCCGGATAACCCCGCCCCCTGCGCTGCGATTGGGTAGTAGTTCATTGTCAGAATCAGGACGCCGTTCATTGTAGTAGGAACCAGAACTCTGTGCCCAGCTAAAAATGACTTCATAAAATTTAGACATAACATTGAAACGACTTGTTTATTCTGTATTAACTATCCAGAGACAAGCATTCACTTATTCTGGCATTGTCAATATGTAAAAAAAAAAACTCAGTGTCTTTATTGTTCATAACATTGATGTGAAGTGAAACGTATTGTGTAGGAGTTAAGCCAAATATAACTAATTCTCTGTAGCCACTGTCTGTTTATTTGTTAATATTGTAGCATTAGTCAAGAAAAAGACAGGGGAAACACTGCATTGTAACGAGAAAGGTTTTTTATTGAGCTGACAGCAAGTGGAGAACTGCCACTTTAGGCAGCTAAAACGATGATAGCAGGCAGGTCACTTCTAGCCATACAATTCTACTTTGTCGTCAACAGTAAACCCACACAAACACCACCCATCCCAGCACAGAATGACACATGCAACACACTTCAAGCTAAAAACAACTTATTTACACTAAATGTCTCTCCTACTGCGAATTTGGCGTCTCCCAAGAGCCTCCTCACACGGCTGGTCTGCATGGCCACGCCTCCTGTGCTCTATCAATAGCTACACTATTTTCTTGAGACAACCAAATACACAGCTTTTTTAAATGATGGTTTCTGGATAACTGACACAACAGCAGCTTCAGTTTAGATTTTTCGGCAGCTGCCCCTCGGCAGAGTCCAACTGAGCTGGAACTGTGGGTGCTAGCTTCATAAAGTCAACATTAAAACTAGCTTGTGTGGTGGAAATCGTTTGGATTCAGCAATGCATAAACATGAACTTAGTAAACACTTACGATGCAACTAGCCTACATGCAATTGGCTGAGTAGTTCTGAATAAAAAAGCAGGTATACTGTAACTCTACACCAGGCCAGCATGCACGGTCAACAAATAACTTTGGACACAACACTGAAAGAACGCAAAATGAATGGTTATACCTGAGAATTTAATTGTTTACATTAAACAAGTAAACATTTCCAATAACTTTGGCCTTCTTTTGATGCCATAGTCATAATAAACTGCTTATAGTCTGTTTAGCTTAGTTGCTGAAATGCTGCTAGTTTTTCAGAGCTGACATTAGCCAATCTTACCCAACATGTCATGCTACTACTCTGCTAGTCTAGAACTTCATGCTAAAATTCCTCAGAATCAGCATTTACAGGAGTTTTTGATCACACTGGCCCTTATTCATCAAAGTTGCATACAGTCAAATGTGATCATAAAAGGAACGCAGGCAAATTTCAATTTTGTCAGTTTTGTTATTTATCAATTTCATTTTTGATGTATCTGTACAATTAAACTTATGTCTGGTAGGAGCGTGTGTAAATTTGAGCTTCATAATTTAACAACCTGAAAAATCTGCTTGATTTGCAGTTAACTAACACAAACTGTGTTCAATATCATCTATAATACCAATCACAACAACAAAAATAGAAAATAACCATAATATTAATCATTTGTGCGCATGGCAATACAGTACAAAAGTGCATGTTTCATGTAAATAAGATGAGAATTAGTTATTGGTAAGATGGCACTTGATTTTACGTACTAAAGCTAATCCCTCATTTGTGCTCAAATCTGTGCTTGTTTCCTCATCTTACTAAAGTTTAGATGAATCAGACATAGTTAGTTCGTATGTCATTATAGGCAGTCAAATCTGTGCTCTTTTTACAAAATTATTATTAATATTTATCTGAAATCATATCAGCATGTCTGTGTTGTACTGCAGAAGACTGAATTATGGTGGTATTCATGGTAGTATCCATGGTGGTATCCATAGAAACAGACAAAAATGAACCAATCAAAATTGTTGAAACTCACGTGTGATGTTTTTCTTCTGCCTGACATCAGTGTACTCAGACATCACTAGTGCGAACTAAGCCAATCTAGCTGCAGGAAGGCGGAGCTAAACAAAAATATGATTCTGAAATCATTTTTAAAGAAAGTGTTTGTTAATGTGTTACAGGTTAGTTAATATATTAATTACTATGTTAATTAGTATTTGTTACTTAATGTGATTATTATTGTTGTTATTATTAGTGCAACAGTAATAATATTAACATTTTAACAAAATTAATAGCATTCAACAGTTGACAAGTTTGAATGATTAGTAGACATAACAGAGCAGATTAGGTGTGTAACTATACGTATGCAAACTCACCTCCAGTGAGACAGCTAGCATGTAATTCTAATACTAGGTAGTCAGTGAAACCCCAGTGAACAATTTTTGTATCTTTATGATGAAAATCCTAGTAAATAGTATTTCTGCAGTAATAAACTAGATGTGGCCTGAGGGAGGAAAAGGGAGGGGGGCATCTTACCAAAGTCCTTATACCCTTCAGGGCTTCTTCCTCCAGGTTTACCTATATATTAGCCATGTTATTTACAGGTGTCCAGTATTATCCACAAAGAGCTGCCACCGCTTTTCATTCCAACAAAGCAGGTGCACGCCTGATCAGGTTGAAGACTGAGACCAGTTAATTTAACAAGTAGAATCAGGTGTGCTCCAGCTTATTTGGAATGATAACCTGCAGCCACACCGGCCCATTAACACGTGCTGTGTTAATTCATGTGTTCAGATTTAATAGAAACTAGCATATTCCAGGTGCTGGTGCTTACACCTTTCTCTTTGGTGAGAAATTTCATCTATTTTAGGCCAAAAGGAACCAAAAAAAAGAAAAATAGCAGCTATCAGACTTCAGTTTTAAAGTATTTCAGTTTTTTGTTTTAATGGTTTTTACTCTATTTTACTAGTTTTTTAGCTACTTTTACACTACTTGTGTTCTAATTTCATTAAAACAACACGCCACTTGAGTGTGACTACACCTACCTGTGTGTGTGTGTGTGTGTGTGTGTGTGTGTGTGAAATATGTGCCAACAACAGTTGCATTATTTACTGTCAGCAGGCTTTTAAGTGAGTTTGCAGCGAGTCCTGATGAAGCGGCCAAACACAGAGTGGCCAGTTTAGATAACAGTGCTGTCTTCTCTCCTCCTCTCTTCTCTTCTGTATACTTCTCGTTTCCTCTTTTCTCTTCTCTCCTTCTCCTCTGTAATCTTTTCTTCTCTTCTTCCCTCTTCTCTTTCCTCTCTACTATCTTTTCTTTTCTTCTCTTCTTCACTCTTCTCTTCTATTCTGTCCCACTTTTTGGTTTGTCGTCTCCTCTCTGGATCCAGGGCGACCTGTTTTTTCTCCCCAAACTCCCTGGCCTCAAAACTCATGGGTCTGTGCTGTTTATATCAGTGAGTGTCGGGTCCATATGTGTGAGAGAGAGAGAGACAGAGAGTGTGCACACATGGGTGTGTATGATTGTGTAACAGTAGCTGGTGACGGAGAGGTTGCAGAGAAACAAAGCTTTGTTTTTAAGGGCACTCAAGGTCTGTATGAGGTTCAGTAATTTCTGTCTAATTAAATATTAATCACTAAAGCGTACAGCTTGTATTTTATTTACACCTTCTCAGTATCTTGCATAACACTCACCATTAGTTTGTACTTTCACACTGCTTACTGAGAAATCTTCTCACAAAGTGTAAACGTACATTTCTAGAATGATTTTAAACAATCATTTTTATGTCTGGTGCCCTGTGGAATGACTGTCGTCTGCTTAAGAGAAGAAGCTAGTGAGAAAATATTATTGTTTTTTATAAGCATAATCCTAAAACTGCACTATGTAAGTTCACATGGCACAAATCCGTTTTTTTGTCCTAATGTGACTCAGATCTGATGTTTTCAGGGCTGTGTGGACACACAAATCTGATCTTTTCAAATCCGACCTGAGTCACTTTCATATGTGGTCCTGGATCGGATACGTATTCGATTCGTGGCCATGTGACCTTAATGTGAACGCTCAGATCGGAATTCATGTGCTTTTTTCCACTGCGCGTGCGCCATCATTCAGCGTTACCATGGCGGCAGCGCCGAACAGAAGTTAAAGCCTGTAAACAGTGGAAAAGTTAATCAGAGTTAATTAACTTCACAGCGAAGCTCGTTCTGACCGTTAGTTTGTTTGCTGATGATGCACGTGACGCACGCGATTCATTCACGTGACCTTACTGAGTAGGATGTGCGCATGCGGGTCATTTCAGGTCGCCGGGTCGTTCACATTAATGACAGATTTGAATCACTTACCTAAACGAGTGTGAACCATCCTGTCAGAGAGATCGGGTTTAAGCGAAAAATCGGATCTGAGTAATGAGGCTTGTAATGTGAGCGTAGCTTTTGTAACTGAGGTTGTTCTTCGGACCCCTTCAAGACGTGTTGTCCGAGGATGTGAGTGAATGATCTACTATTGTCATCATATCTTCATCAGTATATTGTTGATTTAGCATTTTGTCGCTGTCCAAACAAGTTATTTTTAATTTTTTTTACATCATTTGAGCACAGCAGATATGTTTTATGTCGTGTGAAAGTTATTTGAAAATGTCTTGTTTTTGCCTTCCAGTTTGCAGAAACTTGTTTTTCTGGACAGTGATGATTTGAGACTCTCACAAAACTCAACCCAACACCTCTGACTGTGAATTACTATTTCAGGCTTTACAGAGCAACTCGCGGCAGCACGTAGACACCATATTTTAGTGTTTTTTTCCCCTCTTGACTCAGTAATGCTACTTCTTTCAGTTTTAACAAAACAAATAGTGCAGCTTTATATACAAATGCGAAAAGGATCCGAAATTTGCATAAATCAAGTCCTAATGTTTTACCAAAAGATACTTTTAGGTGTCTAAAGAAATTAGTTTAGACAATTATGTT